TACTCTTGATTCTGTGTTTTTCTTTGTATAGTTCAGCTTCTCATATTATCTGCACATCTTTCCTGATTTTAAACCATACAGTATCCCCTTGCTTTGTTTGAATGACTGTGTCTTGGTCGATTTAGAGGTGCCGCATAAGCACAATGAAGTGTTCTGGAATTGCCATGTATCACAATTTTATCCATCATTTTTAATGACTCAAACAATCAAATACCTTTGCATAGTCAGTAGAGCACAAGTAAACATCTTTCTGGTATTCTTCTGCTTTTACCCAAGATCCATGTGATGCAGCAGTGATAGCTTTCCAAATCCTCTTCTGTATCCAGCATGAATTTCTGACAACTTCCGCTCCACGTACTTCTGCAACTGTTTTTGAATTATCATCAGCACAATTTTGTGTATGATATTAATGATATTGTTGATAACTTCTGTATCCTGTTGGGTCACTTTGCTTTGAAATGGGCACAAATCTGAAATGGGCATAAATCTGCTTTGAAATGGGCACAAATCTTCCAGTTGGTTGGCTAGGCAGCTGTCTTCCAAAAAAGTTGACATAGACCAGTGAGTGTTGCCAATGCCTGTTTCAGGAATATTTCAGTTGTTATTCCATGAGTTCCTGGAGCTTTGTTTTTCATCAGTCCCTTCAGTACAGCTTGAACTTCTTCCTTCAGTGCTTTTAGTTCTTGATCATATGCTACTTTTTGAAATAGTTGCATGTTGACTAATTCTTTTCGTCAGTGATTCTGTGCACTTCTTCATCACATTTGTTGCTTCCTGCATTCAGTATTTAGCCTGTATAGAATCCTTCAGTATTACAACTTGAGATATGAATTGTTTCTATATTTCTTTCAGTTTGAGATATGCTGACTCTATGATTTTTTTTTCAATTTTCTAAATCTAGCTTTTTGCACATTTTATTTTAATGGTTTTCTTTGTCTTCTCAAGCTGTGTTATGAGAATTTTTTTTTAAAGATAACATTTAGTTTAAAAAAATTGGAAAAGGCTTGGTGAAGGCTGGCCAAATGAACCTTTGAAAAACAGATAATAGGGGGGAAAAGAGAAGACAAACAGATAATAGTTCCATTTATTGATATTTTTGTAAAAGTAATTCTTAGAGCTGAACTAATGTAATAGGCTCAGAGAAAATATTCAAAAGAGTGCTGTTTAGAAGAGATTTCAGAGAGGTTCCTGAAAACTTTGCATCTGAGAAGTCAGGGTCAGTGTGATTTTGCTTGCTTGCCTCTTTCTCTTTCATTTCCTTAGCTCTGCTTTGAACAGACACGAAGTGGGGAAACGCTTAAGGAAATAAGGAGGATAACACTACAGGAAAAGTAAATCTTGAAGAAAATGAAATGCCAATATAATTATTGTTAAGTCTGTTTAGAAATATCTTCCAGCATGTGCCTAGCATTTTAAAAACAGTATTTAATGCTTAACACAACCCTCTGAGATAAAATCAGACATTTAATGAAAAAGATTAAGCTTAGAAATGTTATGTAGTTTGCCCAAGTTTCACACAGTAAGTGCCAAAGTTAGAATTTAAATACAATTATTCTAATTTATTTCCCCTCCAAAATCATTCAGTCATTTAGAACTGCCAACATTTCACTTAGCAACGGTGCCACCAGGGCTTTGATAACTTGGATTTCTTGCATGGTTTCTAAACATAGCCTTTCCCTGAAGAATTCTTCACTCGTCTACCTATACTGCATTAAAATGACAATATTGTCGTTTCCAAGGCACTTGTGATGGTTAGATTTGTGTCAACTTGGCAAGGGCCAGGAGACTCAGGAGTTTGTTTACATAATATAAACAACTCCAGGCTGCCTGTATAGCAAGGCAGTATCTCACTCAGGCCACAAACTGATGTCTTCTTGTGGGTGTGGCCTGTTTGGCAGCCACAAAAGAGATATGGTTAAGAATGTTTCCTCTCTCTCTGGGAGGAGACGAGCCAGTCAGGGTGCGATGTAGCAATGATAAAAAATACAACTTTCCTCTGGTTCCTAAATGTTTCCTCTCCGCCCCCACTATCATGATCTGAATTCTACCTTGCAAGTCTGGCTAGACCAGAGGATGTACACTGGTACAGATAGGAACTGGAAACACAGGGAATCCAGGGCGGATGATCCCTTCAGGACCAGTGGTGTGAGTGGCGATACTGGGAGGGTAGAGGGAGAGTGGGTTGGAACGAGGGAACCGATTACAAGGAACTATATGTGACCTCCTCCCTGGGGGATGGACAACAGAAAAGTGGGTGAAGGGAGACGTCAAACAGGGCAAGATATGACAAAATAATAATTTATAAATTATCAAGGGCTCTTGAGGGAGGGTAAAAATGAAGACCTAATACCGGGGTCTTAAATGGAGAGAAAATGTTTTGAGAATGATGAGGGCAATGAATGTACAAATGAGCTTTACACAATTGATGTATGTATGGATTATGATAAGAGTTGTATGAGCCCCTAATAAAACGATTAAATAAAAAAAAAAGAATGCTTCCTTTCTTCCCTTTCTTCCTGCTGGCCTGGATCCTGACTGTTTTTTTGGAATACAGACCACTGGTGATCCTGGGAGCTATTAGCCGCCTTTCATAACATCTGCCCATTTCCCTCTGCAGTCACCAGCTATGACTTTCTGGCTTTGTTCTGCTGCCTCTAGATTCCTTTTCTAGCTTCCTGAGTTCCCAGGCCTGGCAACCACACAAGTCCCGAAAAGCTTCCAGCTTACATCCCTGCTTGATCTAAGAAGGGATTTCAGATTAACATCTGATCCATGGATTTGAGCTAAACTGGGTTTGTGACTGTTTGGCTATGTGGCTGCTTTTTCATATTCCTTTTAAATGTTTTGGGTTTTCGGAACAAAAAAGTCTGAAGGGGCAAGATCAGGGCTGTATGGTAGATGGGGTAAGGGTTCCCAGTGAAATTCTCATAGAATAACCCCGGCTCCCCTTGATGCATGAGTAGGTACATGGTCATAATGGAAAAAATTTCTCTGCAAATTTCTTGACCTTTTTCTCATAACTAAGACCCAGCTTACTGGTCAGAAAGAGACTAGTGGGGCCCCGCAGATGATGGCCATTAGTAACCCTTCACGTCTGCAAATGAATTCACCTTCATGGCTTAATTTTCAGCCAAACAGTAGACAGAGTTATAAGGAGAACAATAACACTAGGGAAGCATGCACACCTTAGAATGCTCAACCATTTGAAATTGAAAGGATAGCATTTACCAGAGCCAAAATTCAGACGGGTTAAGGATGAAGGAGAAAGGGAAACAGGAAATACAGGGGAGAAATGGAATAAGGAATGTTATATTAGGCATTGCAATGAATGAGATTAAACAAAATGTGTATGAATTGTTGACTATAAAACTGATCGCCTGCTCTATAAAGCTTCACCCAATTCACAATAAGAAGCTAAAAATATTAAAAGATTAACCCCTTGGAATCTCAAAATACAATTATGACCTTCTGAGCTGATCTGTATGCTTTAGATATAACTGGCTCAGCATATCACTTTAGATACCACTAATTTGGTTGGACCTTTTGCATTTGAAGCACCCTAATGAGGCTGAGACAACGGTGTTAAGACATGTACTTATAAGCAGCCATCCACTGATGAGAGACATGTTTAGCAAGTTTTGTTTGGAGTAAATCCATTAATGTATGAACTAGAACCTACTAGTAATACTTTTAAATTGTTCTTATATATATGGTGGTCAGGGCAAAATTATGGATGAAAATAAAGCTTTTGTTTTTGTTTTGTGTATATGTGTAAAGGTCGACTGATAGAATCCTGGAAGAATTAACTTTGCCCCAATTCTTTCCTATTAAGTGAAGATGGTTATCTAGAAGGAACATTTTATCTGCCCTCTCCCCTACTGCCACTGCCACAAATAAATACAAAAATCATATATATGCAAATTATAATTGAATAACTACAAGAGGCATTAAGGGAAATTTTCACATTCCCAAAATGTCAAAAATGGGGCAAAATTTATTAAGCAACACTGGAATATTTAGATTATTTTTTAATTTTCCATTCCAAGGACAGATACAATTCTGTTACTGAAATTTGAAGATAAACAACCATTTATCTGTAACATATAATGTGGTAATACTGTTTTTAAAAAAATCATGAATATACTATGTATATTTATTTTATTTGTTAAAGTTCATTTTCTTGATTCAATTTGTATATCTGGTAAATTTTAAATGAAATAATTTTGAAATTGTTTTATGTGCTTGGATTTTGAAACCTTGAATAGCTGAATGAAATTGTACTATGGGATATAATGAGAACAGAGTGTGAAACATTGTATTTTTTTAAAAAAAGAATTGCAGGAATAACACGTGCAATAAATAGCAATGGAAGCAGACATGGCTGATTTCCTCTGGCTATCCAGAAACTCAAAAAACCAAACTCACTTTTATTGAATTGATTCGGACTCATACCTGTCTTATAGGACAGGGTAGACCTGCCTGTGTGGGTTGTACTCATGCCTACTTTATAGGACAGGGTAGACCTACCTGCCCTTGTGGTTACCAACACTATTTAACCTTTATGGGAGTAGAAAACCTCATCTTTATCCTCCTGACTGACTGGTGGTTTTGAACTGCTGACCCAACTCTACCATCACGCCATTAAGGCTCCAACCAACCAGAACCAAATCCTTAGGAGAGGGAAACTCCAATTCCACCATATTTCTAAAGACAGAGGTCTGCATGTCTTCACATTCCATCCATCTTTACCAATTCTGACACCAACCATTCCTTTCACAGCACCTACTTCTATGCTGGGCTCAATAATTCATTGCAGTGGTCACCTGGAACTCACAGACAAAGCTCAGCATTAAGGGGTTTTATTAGGGAAGTTAAAGAGACCTGGTGGTGTAGTGGTTATACATTGGGCTGGTAACCACAAGGTTAGCAGTTTGAGACCACCAGCTGCTTTGTGAAAGAAAAATGAGGCTTTCTACTCCCATAAAAAATTAGTTTTAGAAACCCATGGGGGCAGTTCTACCCTTTTCCTACAGGGTCATCATGAGTCAAAAGGAGCTACTTGGGAAGTCAGTGGGTTACCACAAGTCAGGAACACCAAGCAATGAGGATGCAAGTCATTGGTCCACAGCAACACCTCTCCCCAGCCAGCAGCCAAGTCTCTGTGATCCTCCACCTCTCAGCTATGTGGTACATTAGCCTTTGCCTCCAGGGGCCAGGATACCAGCCTGCCTGCCACACTGTTCTCACAGTTCCACAGCCTCAGGCTAGATGAAGATAGTGCATAGTTTCAATGCTGCTCCTCTTAGCCTTATTGTCACAATCTCTGGTGCATCTGGTCTCTGTGGCTACTGCCCTCTGCCGCCACTTCAGAGAGAGATCTTGGACTCACTCTTCTGAATGGCCCTGCAGTTTTTCTGTGTCCCAGATGGCTCTTATTTACTGAGGGATGGCTCTCGTGGTTTGTCTTTTAGCTGACTGTACCTCCAAGGAAAAGGAAAGATGGTGCCTTAAAGATGCCCCCCCAGAAACAAGGGGTGTGACTTGATCCATACCCTGAACTAAGAACAGGGTTAGCCCCACCTTAATCCTGTCACAGGGAACACCTTCCAAAATGAGATCTAGCCTAAGGCAGAGAATCCAGAATTATAATACATCACATAAGGAATTATGGTCAGAAGGGCCATAATCATTGACTGTATCTCAACACGTAAGGGCCAAGTTTGTAAATAGTTTATTACTTAACACAGTTTTTGAAAATGTAGAATCATTAATTAATTTAACAATTACTATAACTTGAATATATTCTAAACTATGTGATTGGTTCACCCATAAATATGGGTCTCTTTAACTTCCCTAATAAAACCCCTTAATGCTGAGCTTTGTCTGTGAGTTCCAGGTGACGACCCTCCTGCTATCTGGAAGTTCCTATGAAGCTTTTGTAAGCCAATATACAATTAAGTAAAGAGGTAATTACTATTAGTTTTTAGGGGAAATTTATTTTTTGTATTCTCCAACCCCTCAAATAACCAAATAATATCAAATAACCTGCAAAACCTGAACTAACAGTAGCAAACATAGCATTAAGAGCTATGGCCACTTAATGCTAAGATGCTGAGTATCATTTTGGACAATGGAGCTTGGCGAGGAGAGCGGCCTTTTTAATGACTCATTGCAAAACCAAATCTGAATGATAATTTTGCTTTTTGCCACCACCACCTACCACAGGTTAATTACTTTCAGATTTCCTTCTGTTACTGAAAATAAGTACTAGTATAGGTCTTCGAGAAAACAACATTTGAGGTAAACTTGCATAAAGAAATCTTTATCACTCAATTAAACTTCATGTTTGATTCACAACTTACATTTGTGTAAAGAGTTCACTTCTGATGTTATGTGTTATAACAAGACTGTTATTGTGTAGTTGGCCTTAGCAGGTTTATATGAAGATGAAATCAAAGGCAAATCATCCAAGAATGATAGACCTAAAGCTCCAGTCTTTAGAAGCCCACGAACACCTCCTCAAATGTAAGTTTTTTTGTCTGTTTGTTTTTAATAATTTAGTAATTTAGTCCCTCTTTAGTCCACTAATCCCAATAGTTTTAATAGCCTGGGTCATTGTTTTTTTATTGTTTATATACTTGCCTAAAACGATAATATAAAGCTCAAAGAAGCTGCTGGGAAAACTGCCTTAAATGCCTATTACATTATTGAACTTCATGTGAAATTATATGCTACGTAGTATTTTTCTTGGGCACAGTGGTTCATTAACCTTTCGTGACTCATCAGTCTATTGAGTTTCGCATGCACTAATTTTTTTCCATCAAGGTGCCCTCCATTTCGACTTTCCAGGGATAGTGTAATTACCCCATTCAATGGGCATTTGACATTGAATTAGAGGGTTTCAGTAGTTAAACTTATGAACGTCGTTTGTTAGCTTATGCTAGAATTTTACATGATTGTATTTTATTGGTTGTATTTTTTTATATTGTGGTTGAAAACATTCTTGAAGAAAAAAGCAGGATGCTACTGATCTTACGTAAAGTAGTTCTTGGGTGGCACAAGCTGTTAAGCACTCAACTACTAGCCCAAAAAAGGTTGGTAATTCAAACCCACCCAGAGGTGCCTCAGAAGACAGGACTCTCGATTTGCCTTAAAATCCCTCTTCTGCACATATGAGGTCACTATGAATTGGAATAATTTGATGGCAACTAACAATAGCTGATAACAACAAAGGAAATTATATATTTTCTAAACCATTTATGAAGTTGGAGTCAAAGGAGAAATTGGTGACTACATAAGAATACACTGACAAGCATGTTCATATGGGCCACATTATTTACCTTAACTTAGTGGCTAGACTAGAGTAGTTGTCTTTTCAGTTCAGACATCTTTCAAATGCAAGCCCTGTGGTAGCCGGAATCTAAATTTAGACACTTAAAACTATCTAAATATAGAGGCTTCTTCGCTAACTAGGTCTGCCCTGAATATATCTTCCTTAGGGGAAGAGGTTAGCTTCTGATTGTCAATACTTCTTAACTCTACTCCATCAAAAATATATGGTTTGTTGAAGAGATGCATCTGGGAAGCATTCACATAATGATTGGGGGAAGACGACAGCAAGCCAATTCTCACTCTCAGTATCATAATCTCTGCAACTCAGCATGAGAAAGTGCATGAGGTAGTTACTGTTTAGTGTTTTCCTTAATCCATTTTTAAAGGATTTCTACAGAAATCATAGAACTATCTCTTTAGAAGCTATTTCATAAAAGCATGTTGCTTTTTGCTTTAAAATTGTATATTTCTGTTATTCCTAATTTATGTTTATGAACTTTAACCTTCAAGGTTCTATCCAAATGAACACGAATACAGTGGATTACATATAGTTCGACCCTCAACTGGGAAAATTGTGAGTGAACTTTTTAAAGAGGCAAAGGAACACGGAGCAGTCCCTCTGAAAGAAGCCACGCGAGCTTTAGGGGATGAAAAATCTAAGGTAAGTGATACATTTTATAGATTGTGTGTGACTCCTCTATAGATGTGCAAACAGTGTTTACTAAATACATTTATTTCTGTTTTAAATATCTGCGTAGTCTTCTCTGATCATAATCCTTATTCTATTAATGGTTAGAGAATAACAGTTTCTTTTTTTTTTTAATCATTTTATTAGGGGCTCATACAACTCTTATTACAATCCATACATACATCAATTGTGTAAAGCACATTTGTACATTCATTGCCCTCATAATTCTCAAAATATTTGCTCTTCACTTAAGCCCCT